TTCCAGACTCTCCGCTGGGCTTAGACCCTTCGTGTCCAGGGGTCCAGCGGAGCCCGCAAGGAACGCCAGGCCTTGTTTCAGCGGGTATGACTCTGCCACCGGTTAAGAAGGAAACTGGGAGACATCCACCTCAGGAAATAATGCTAGTTCTCTGAGCGCTTCTTGAATGCTGGGTGCTGGACCACGCAGGCTACATTCCTTCCCTCTCTGAGCCCGCACAATGCCCTGCTTGGAGATGAGGGGCCCTTTGCTGAGGACCACAGATCTGGCACACGACGGAGACCAGATCTGAGCTCAGGTCTAGCAGAACTTTAAAGCCACTGGCTGTGCTGCCCTTGAGCACTGGCCAACCCAGGCAGGTCCTGACATCGTTCCTTATCTTCTAGAATCTAAGCAAATTTATGGAGCTTTCCCTGGGTGCCTGGCAACAGCAGGCAGGATTTCTTCCGAGAAATCCACCAGGACCAGCAAGAAAAGTATCGAGTCCATTCGACGGGATGGGGACAACCTCTCCTGAAAGCTGGAATGAAGAGGAGTGATGTGTTTGGAGTGGCCGGGAAGCAGGAGACCACGGGGACCTGCCAGGATCTCTAGGCCCATCCGAGTCTTCTATTTGTACTCTTGAATGCCTTATAACAACAATAGCTAAGGCCAGGCGTGGGGGCACGTGCCTGTAGTCCCAGCTACTCAGGAGGATGAGGCGGGAACATCGCTTGAACCCCGGAGGTGGAGGCTGCAATGAGCCGAGATTGGGCCACTGTACTCCGGCCTGGGCGACAGACCAGCTAAGGACCCCGAGCCTGTGTTCTGTCTGAGCTGGAGCGATCACTGGCCTGGGGCTCTTCCCGCGCCAAATCCTAGGGCTGCTCCCAAGCGGGCTTGCAGGGAGCCCCCGAGCCGGCTGGCAACCGAGCTCCTGACCCGGCCCCACCGCCCCAGTCCTCAGTTGCAAATGTAACAACTTGCAACCCGAGACGCCGGGACCGGAGGCGGGAGGCGGACCTACCTGGAGTCGGAGGCGACGGGATGGGGGCGGAGGGAGGCACCTGGGGGAAGCCCGGGGGAAAGAGAGGAAGAGGGTATATCTGGAGACAGGCACGGCCTCGCGGACCGAGGTGGCACCCGCGCAGCGCGCGGCTCGGGACTCGTGCGCTACCCGGGGCGCGGCGCTTACCCGGTTGATCTCGGCCAGCCTCCTCTCCTGCTGGGCTTTGAGCAAGCCGAACGCCTTCCCTCCTGGAGGAGACAAAGAGGCGGTCCGGGAAGCGGGGTCCTCTCTGGGCCACGCGCCCCCGTCCCCGTGCGGTTCCCGCGCGCGGTGGACCCCGCGGTCCGCCAGGCGCGCACAGGTGGCGGCCCCGGGACGGCGGCACCTACCTTGGAACCTGTTGCTGAGCGCGACCGACATGGCGAGCGCAGGGCTACCGCCGCCTCCAGGCTTCGTGGACTCGGCGAGGGACTGGGAGGAGGCACAGGCGCTTGGTCCGAGCTCCGGCTGGCTGCTTGTGGCCGCGGGACCGAGGGGCGGAGGGACGGCGCGGGCGGCCGACACACCCCTCCCTCCGCTGCCGGCCCCTCCCTCCCTCCCTCCGGCCCTTCCCTTCCCTCCCCTCCCGCCTCCCTGTCCGCGGGCATCAAAGCCGCTATTATGCGGGACGCGGAGCCCGCCGGCCGCCCCTCTGCTGGAGGACGGGGAAAGTGCACAGCGCGGGCCGGCCGCGCCCCTCTTCTCTGCCCCTCCCCAGACCTCAGCGAGTCCCTGCCACAGAAATGAAATGCAAGAATCTTAGCATGAACTTCATGGGGTGGTTGAGAGGACCTAGTGCCGTCGGGGAGTCAGCAGCGCTCAAACAACAGGACTGCTGCGACAACAGTGGCCCCCTCAAAGCAATTGGAATGAACTCGTGTCTCGTTAATAAAACCATTTCTTGGACACTCACTATGGAACCGATTTCTGGGCAGCCGCAGGCACTTTGCACTGTGCACCAGTTATTTCATTCTGAAAACTCCACGAAATAGGACTCGGCATTCCCGTTTCCAGAAGAGAAAAGTCAGGAAGCTGGACCTGGGGCGCAAGGCCACCAGGATGACAAACCAGCCCATGACTCCAGGAATAGCGAAGCTCGGGGCGCAGGTCTGGGTATCTGTGGCCAGGGTGGCTGTCAAATCTAGTGTCCAAATCAGGACAGCCAGAGTGAATGGGGCACTCCTCATCATGATGCTGGGCTACAGGCGTAGACGGGCGCTGTCCCGGGCAGATAGCACTGGGAATGGCCCCACCGTGCACACAGAGCGGGCCTCCTCAGGATTACACCCAGGAAGTCTCCTTCCCAATGGACGTCTCGTCTCCATCAGACTCCTAGGTTTGGGACCCTGAAATCATTTTTTTTTTTTTTTTTCTTTTTACAGAGTCTCACTCTGTTGCCTGAAGCTGGAATACAGCGGCTCTATCTCGGCTCACTGCAACCTCCGCCTCCAGGGTTCAAATGATTCTTCTGCCGCAGCCTCCCAAATAGCTGGGACTATGGTTACACACCACTACATCTGGCTAATGTTTGTATTTTTAGTAGAGATGGAGTTTCGCCGTGTTAGCCAGGCTGGTCTTGAACTCCTGACCTAAGATAATCTGCCTGCCTCGACCTCCCAAAGTGCTGGGATTACAGGCATGAGCCACCACACCCAGGCGAGATCATCTTGTTTTTTGTGGCTGTCCCAGGGGAGGGAAGTGGCCAGTGAGGAGCTGGGCAGAATGGGATGGGGCTGAGGTCAGGGCAGCAGTCCAGGGGGCAGGCCTCTCCTCCCCAGCGTGACCAGCTCCTGTCTCTCCTAGATGATGGTCCCCTGTCCATTTACCCAAGGGTTTGGATTTGGCCAAGCTGCATGATCTTGGGCGAGGCACTTGGCCTGCTGAGCTTCAGGCCCTGATCTTCAGAATGAAGTAACCCAGAACTCACTAAGCAGGGGCTTTTGTAACTTGGATGCCTTGCTGGATGGTTTAAGCAGAGAGTAGAACTTCCTGTTACCACCCTTGGTTGATGGGAGCTGACTTAGGACAGAGCCCTCATAATGCACTTCCCCCTCCAGGCTCCAGCAGCCTGTTGCCCTGGCCAGTTGAGCTGGTTGGCCCCAGTCAGCCATCCTGCAGGGCAAGGGCCACCCCACCTTCTCCTGCTCAACTGCTGAACTGCATTGCTAGCCAGATGTTCAACAGCTGCCGCATTCCACCCGGCAGCAGCCCCACCTCTGAGGCCGGAGAGTAGATCAGCACATGCACCAGGCATGATAAGACTGCGTGAGTCACAAGATGTCAGTCCCGAGTGCTCCACCCGTCGGGGATGCTGGGACTGGGCTTTGCGGGACCCACAGCTTGAGTGGATAATGGCTGAAAGCCAAGAGCAGGCAGCAGGGCGACTGTGTGCTGCCAGCCGAGAAAGCAGAGGGAGGGGTGAGGGGGACATCAGACCCTATCCCAGAGATCTTGGAAGAACCCCATCTTCTCGACATCATGTACACCAGACGCCAATCACCAGACTCACTGTGCAGCAGCAGCTCCCCGGCCTTCAGCCTCTCCACCTCTGCCCAGGCGTCTACCAAGTCACTCCATAGCTCGGCTTGATCATGCCAATCCCCCACCGTAGCCTTGATTTTATAGTTTTCTGTGGCGGAGCACGCCTCTGCTCTGAACACCGTCTCCCATTAGGTTGGGGGGAGTGGCACCCGTCATCATTATGTGGCCTTGGATCTAGAGATCCTCATTATCCTGAACAGGGGTTGGGGGGACTTCACCTAAGCTGCGAAGCTGGAATCAGGACAGAGTCACCAGCTTGTCTCTTGCAAGCATTGGATCTGATGACATGTACACCTGGGGCCATCAAGGGGGATGGCGGTTGTGGTGGGTGTCCTCTCCCATTGGGCACAAGCAAAGCAAAGAAAGCCACTCTGCAAAGAGAAAAGAATGGGCCAGGTGCAGTGGCTCACACCTGTAATCCCAGCACTTTGGGAGGCCGAGACAGGTGGATCACCTGAGTTCAGGAGTTCGAGACCCGCCTGACCAACATGGTGAAACCCTGTCTCTACTAAATATACAAAAATTAGCGGGGTGTGGTGGTGTGCACCGGTAATCCCAGCTACTCGGGAGGCTGGGGCAGGACAATCGCTTGAACCCAGGAGGCAGAGGTTGCAGTGAGCTGAGATTGTGCCAGTGCACTCCAGCCTGGGTGACACAGTGAGACTCCATCTCAAAAAATAATAATAAATGAAGAGAAAAGAAGGAAGCAGACACGGGAGAGGAGAGCAGAGATGGAGACCAAGAAGAGAGGCGGGAGGGAGGAAGAGGGAAGCCAGTCTATGTCAGGCGCTCCTCCCTAGGCTATCTCCAATGCCTGGCCGCCTTTTCTACCCCAGGCTTCCAAGTGACCCTCCCAACACCCCTTTTCTGCTGAAACCACCTCCGGAGGGGTTTGAGGCTTGGGGCCAAGAACCCTAAGTGAGCAGCTCTAACATCCCACCCCATTCCACCTGGGTTCCTGGGGTGATGAGAGCTGGCCAAGCCCCCACCCTGCGGGCCCGGACTGTGGTCCGCCCTCTTGCCTGGACTGCTTCCTCTTCTACCTCCCCACCTTTCAAGGCCTGACCCACACCCTTCCCGTCCCTGATGGTGCCCCTCCCTGCTCCTCGCTGTCCTCACACTTGGCTGAGTTCATCTCCAGCCTGAACCAGAGGTCAGCTGAGGGCCTCTCTGCACCTCACCCCTCCCACTCCCCAGTTCCTAGGCTTTTCGTGGTAAGTGCCTAAGAGGAGAGGGTAGGTACCTGTGGCCACAGGACCCCAGCAAAGCCCTCTAACGGACGTACTGGCCCAGCCATGAGCTCAGCTTTTGCTACCTTCCTGCCGATGTCTGGTCCACACACTGGCCACCTACCAGGTGCGTGATGTGCGTACCCACAGCCAGGGCGCTGGCTGGCTGCCCACCAGCAGGGAGGGTGAGGGGCACTGCCCTGCCCAGTAAAAGGGTCCTTTATTTCCACGTTAAACAGAATCGGTCTGTGCTGCTGCCCTACCCCTGCCCCTGTCAGGGAAGCCGTGGGTAGGGCCTGGGCCCGCAGAGGCGTCTGTCTTCCCAATGCCAAGGCCTTGCGGTCTGCTGGAAGAGGGCCCGGAAGAGGGGAGGGGTGCCAAGAGGAAATGCTGAGGAGTCCTGGGCTCGAGGGCCTGGCCACAGGGCGATTCCCAGGCAGGACAGACTGGAATGGCAGCCAGGCTTCCACACCCTTGTGACCTCCTGCATGGCAGGTGCTGCTGCAGGGCTGGTTTGGGAAGCATCAAAGGTCAGCTGGGTTGCTGGGGGCACAAAGGGGCGCTCCTGATGGCCTGAGCCCCCTGACCCAGGTGCTCTTGGGCTGGCTCTTGGGATCGATAACAGGCCGAAGTGGGTACAGGCCAGTGTGGGCCATTCCCTCAGGGCGTCTGGTGCAGTCTGGGGAACCCGAGAAGGAAGCATCCGGTGAAGCCCGTGACACCTCCCACCAGGAGTGGGCCTTGCTCTAGCCAGACTAGCAGGCCTGGCCATGCCCTCAGGGCTCTCCGGGTCTCAGGTTCCACTGCTGAGAATCCTCCCAGAATCTTGCATTTCTTGGCCTGTTGGTCTCCTGGCTGTGTGGAGCTGTGGGGTGTGCACGCAGGGCCAGATGTCGGGCAGCTGTCATGAAACAGCTCAGCCAGCTCTGGGACTAGGGGCTTCGGCTCTTGCTGACAGCTTGATCTCTGCAGATCTGCTGAGATCTCCCTGTGGTCTGGAGTGAATGGATGTTGGCACCCCAGGGTATCTCCTGTAACAAGCTGCCCAGCATCCAGCCTAGCGCACAGGTGGCTGTCCCAACAGCTGCAGACTGCAGTGTGTGGACAGTAAGCTGTGGACTGGATGGACTGGACTTGAAAACGTGTGGGTCATACGCACAGACATGCACCCTCACGTGTGTATGTGTTATTGACGCCGGGGTGTGCCTATTTATGCACGTGCAGGGGTGGGAGTGTGCACCGATGCCCAGGTGAATTGACTGCGTACACTCAGTCCTCTGGCAGGGAAGAAGCCACAGACAGACTCAGCAGGGAGTGTGACTATTCGCTTGGGATCGAGTCCACAGCAGCCAGCTCCAGGGTGCGCCGGTATGGGCACACCTGTGGGGTAGTGTCCACACCCCAGTCATGTAAACAGCAGGCGGGGAGTGTGCCGGGGGTCTGGGCGGCCCTCACTGCCAACTGGCACAGTTCTCGGGCAGGCTGTGCAGAATGGCCTCCAGGTTCTGTTTGTCGGCACGGATCTCGGCGAGGCCGCTCTCAAACTCCTGGATCTGCAGCTCCTGCTGCTCGGATTCCTGCTCCAACAGCCTCAGTTTCCTCTGCAGGCCCCCCTGGGAGCCCAGCTGCAGCCTCAAGCGTTCCAGTGCCAACTGAGTCTCGTTCAGGGCCTGGGCTGGGGCTTGATGGGCATCCAGCGACCCTGCGGTGGGGCACAAACAGCCTCACTGTGAGCTGGCAGCCCTGCAGGCCCCAGGGCACCCCCCATACCCGGAGCCTCTCCTCAGCTCAGGACTCCCAGGATTCCAACGGCCCACCATCTACCAGGGAAAGACAGGGACCCAGAGGCTGTGAAGTGGCTGAGGGCCCATGCCTCCCAATGGGCCCATGGAAAGACTGGAACATCCTCCTGGGTGGCACACTTTTGTTGATGGTTTTACTACTATTGTTTAAAAAAATGAAGGCCTTAGGTGAGTCCTCTCTGAGTCTCAGTTTTCTCATCTACAAAACAGCACGTGAGAGAGGTCCCTGTGATTTTCGCCGGCTGGAACGTGCTGGCTCAATTCACTGACAGCACACATTTACAGACGCTGCCTGTGTGCCTGGATGTGGGCAGCCCCTGTGGCAAATCACAGGGTCTCTGGCTTTAGAGCGAGAGGCTGGGAGGCAGCTGGAGCAGGGGCTGCAGGCCTGGAAGGCAGGCAGCGGGGTCTTAGCTCTGGCCCCTGCAGGTCTTCGCTCTGCTCCCTGGGGTTAAGGACTTCTCGGTATCTCCCCAAGCATCAACCCTAATCCTAACCCCATCCTAACCCTAACCCTAACCCTGGGGCCAGGTGATGACAGCCTGTGATCTAGCACTTTGGGAGGCCGAGGCGGGCAGATCACCTGAGGTCGGAAGTTTGAGACCAGCCTGACCAACATGGAGAAACCCCGTCTCTACTAAAAAATACAAAATTAGCCAGGTGTGGTGGCACATGCCTGTAATTCCAGCTACTTGGGAGTCTGAGGCAGGAGAATCGCTTGAACCCGGGAAGTGGAGGTTGTGGTGAGCCGAGATCGTGCCACTGCACTCCAGCCTGGGCAACAAGAGCAAAACTCTGTCTCAAAAAAAAAAAAAAAAAGAACTGCTAGCAATGTTTATGGAGTCGAATCTGCAGGCTGCCTCTCCCATCTAGTCCTTGTCACCTTGTCACTAAGTGTAACATTTAACTGAAAGACATAGTTCAGCCAGGTGGGAAAGCGATGGGAATGAGGAGATAAGTCCCAAGTGGCTGCTTCTTCCTTTTTTTTTTGAGACAGAGTCTTACTCTGTCAACCAGGCTGGAGTGCTGTGGCACAATGTCAGCTCACTGCAACCTCTGCCTCCTGGGTTCAAGTGATTCTCTTGCCTCAACCTCTGAGTAGCTGGGATTACAGGCCTGCGCCACCACGCCTGGCTAACTTTTGTATTTATTTGTTTATTGAGACAGAGTCTCACTCTGTTGCCCAGGCTGGAGTTCAGTGGCGTGATCTTGGCTTAATGTAGCCTCCGCCTCTTGGGTTCAAGCAATTCTCCTGCTTCAGCCTCCCAAGTATCTAGGATTACAGATGCCCAGCTACTATTTTGTATTTTTAGTAGAGACAAGGTTTCACCATGTTGGCCAGACTGATCTCAAACTCCTGACCTCTGCCTGCCTTGGTGATCTGCCTGCCTTGGTCTCCTGAAGTGCTGGAATTAGAGTTGTGAGCCACCACGTCCAGTCCCAAGTGACTTCTTCTAACCCCACAGGATTCCACTGGGCCCCATGGCTCCCTGAGGCCCTGGATTTCCTGGGCAAGCAGCTGCAAGCCCCAAGCCAGGGTGTAAGAGAAGGCAGAGGGGAGCCCAGGCCCTGCTGATCTGGGCAGACCTCAGGAGGCCCCACTGCTCACAGCCAAGTCCAAACAGCTTGGCTTTCAAAGAGATTCAGAAATGAGTTACAGGCCCCACTCTACCTGCCCAGGCCATCTAGGGCTCCTGGAGCAGGGGCCAGGTGTGTGCTATTCATTCTGCATCCCCGTATGAAGCACAGGGCTGACACAGAGTGACAAGTGAATGAATGACAGTGACAATGCAGGAATGGTTGAAGAGAGTGTCTGCTCCATGACAGGGCATTGGGTGTCAACCAATGGCTACCTGCATGCACTCTGAGTCACTTGGATCCACAGGCAAGTCATGGCTTCCCCACCGATTGGCGGTGGGACCCTGGGCACATTATCTAACCTCTCTGTGCTAGGCTGGGTGTAGTGGCTCTCTCGTAATCCTAGCACTTTGGAAACCTGAGGTGGGAGCATCTCTTGAGGCCAGGAGTTCAACACCAGCTTGGTTAACGTAACGAGACACTATCTCTACAAAAAACAAACAAAAATAAAAAATAAAAATAAACTCTCCACACCTCAGTTTCCTCATTGCAAAATGGCAAAAGAGTATCTGTCCCTGCATTAAAAACTTAGTATGAAAATTCTGTAAGATGATGTGTGTGAATAGCTCAGTGTGGGCCTGGTGTCCAAAGTGCAGAGCATGGCAGTTCTCTCTCATTACGAATGATAATTGAAAATGCATGCTGCCACTGGTGAATCTTGATGACTCTCTGCTAAGTGAAATAAGTCCATCAAAAGAGTAAAAATAAGGCAGGGCACGGTGGCTCATGCTTGTGATCCCAGCACTTTGGGAGGCCAAGGCAGGGGGATCACTTGAGCCCAGGAGTTCAAGACCAGCCTGGGCAACATAAGGAACATATGTTTTTATCTCAACAACAACAAAAATTAGCAGATTATGGTGGTACGTGCCTGTGGTCCCAGCTACTTTGAAGACTGAAGTGAAGGATTGCTTGACCCCAGGAGTCTGAGGCTACAGTGGGCCACCATTGCACCACTGCACTCCAGCCTGGGCAACAGAGCAAGATCCTGTTTCCAAAAAAAAAGTTTTTTTAAGAACAAATACTGTACGATTCCAGTTATATGAGGTGCCGAGTAGTCAAATTCTTTTTTTGAGACGGAGTCTCACTCAGTCGCCCAGGCTGGAGTGAAGTGGCTCGATCTTGGCTCACTGCCACCTCCGCCTCCCAGGTCAAAGAGATTCTCCTGCCTCAGCATTCTGTGTAGCTGAGACTACAAGTGTGTGCCACCATGCCTGGCTATTTTTTTTTTTTTTTTGTATTTTTAGAAGAGACAGCCTTTTACCATATTCATTAGGCTGGTCTCAAACTCCTGATCTCAAATGATCCGCCTGCCTCGGCCTCTCAAAGTGCTGGGATTACAGGCGGGAGCCAGCGCGCCTGGCCCAGAGTAGTCAAATTCACAGAGACAAAAGTAGAATGGTGGCTGCCGGGGCTGGGGGAGGGAAATGGGGAGTGAGTGTTTCTGGAGGACAGAGCTTCAGCTGGAGATGATGAAAGACCTCTAGAGATGGGTAGTGGTGATGACAGAACAGTAGTGAATGTACTTAATGATGCTGAACTGTACACTTCAAAATGGTTAAGATAGAAAATATTGGCCAGGTACAGTGGCTCACGCCTGTAATCCCAGCACTTTGGGAAGCTGAGGCAGGTAGATCATGAGGTCAGGAGATTGAGACCATCCTGGTTAACATGGTGAAACCCCGTCTCTACTAAAAATAAAAAAAATTAGCTGGGCGTGGTGGCATGCACCTGTAGTCCCAGCTGCTCGGGAGGCTGAGGCAGGAGAATTGTTTGAACACGGGATGCGGAGGTTGCAGTGAGCCGAGATCACACCACTGCACTCCAGCCTAGGTGACAGGTTGAGACCCTGTCTAGAAGAAAAAAAAGAAAAAAATATTATGTGTCTTTTAAAATTTGAAAAAACACGTGCCGTTCTTTTCTGCTCACTGTCCCATCTGCTGTCTCCCCAACACCGGGCTTCTGGGACCTTCATGCCTGGGGAGGTGCTATTCCCTTCATTCAAATCCCTCCTTGCTAAGGCCCACCTTGAATCTGACCTCTTTCTATGAGCTGCTATTTCCTCACTCTTAAAATACACCACACACTGTGGTAAGAGCTTTCTAAATCACCCCACGGTGACTCCCATTTTCCAGATGGGGGATCTGAGGCTCAGAGAGGTGGAGTGACTTGCCCAAGGTCTAATGGCTAAAGAAGGGACAGATCCAGACCTGAATCTTGGTCTGACTCCAAACCGGCGCCTGACGCCACACTTGCTGCCGTGACAGCCTTTCTTCTCCTGAGCCCTCAGTCCCCGAGGGCTGACCTGCTCACCCCTGTCTGTAGGTGTTCTTGCTAATGGTGAGCTTTCTGTGTGCCCCCTGCTCTGCCTCCAAGAATACAGGTCTCTGGAGGCACAAAGAGTGACTCAAAGTGAACTCATTTTTAGACACCAACCTCGTCTCATACGGCATAGAGGCCTGGGCATGGTTACAAACGCTTGTCATTGAACATAAAGATGGGGCCATGGGAAGCATGGAGGTAAGGACAGGGAGGAAATCTTCCCCAGGATTGGAGCTCACAGGAAGATCCTAGAGGTGCCTCAGGGACCCAGAGGTTCAGGGCCCAGCCCTGGGGTCTCCTTACCCAGCCTGGCAAGCAGCTCTGACAGGGCCTCAATGTCCTTCTCCAGGGAGATGCGTGATTCCTGGATCTGCTGCTCCATCTCGCTCAGCCCAGCACCCACCTTCCAGAGGGAGGAGGGAGAAACAGCTTGAGTGGCGCCCCCACCCTTGCGGCCAGGGGCAGGAAGTGATGGGGTGGGGGCCCTGGCACACGTACCCGTTCAGCTTCCTCCAGCTCCTGTCTGCGTGCTTCAGACACCAGAACCTGCCGGGATGCCTGCTGGAGCATGGCTTGCGTCTGGCTGGTGAGCCGGCTGGCACGGCGGTGCCCCTGTTTCCCCTCCCTCAGCAAGGCCTTGGCGAGCTATGGGGTGGGTGGCAGCGGAGGGAGAAGAGGTGAGTGCCGTAAGTCCTTTTGCAGGTAAATAGCTCTTACGGCAAGAATGCCAAGCAGTCGCCTGTACCAGGCAGATCCTTCATGCATGCATGCAACGAATATGTGCTGAATGCAGGCTAGGTACTGGGGCACAGTGCAGACGGCTGGATACCACCTGTTTCTCTCAGGAGGAGAAATTCCAACTATTTTGCAGATGAGGAAACAGAGGCACAGGGGCTTGGAAGGGCTGGCCAAAGCCCAAGTGGCATGGGAAGAAGTCAAGCCTGGGGACCCCAACTGCAAATCCAGCATGTTCTCTAGGTGCCATAAAGACAGTTTGCTTGGTGTGTGAGCAAAAGAGCCAGCAACAGAGCTGCAGAGACAGGCACTCATTAGAATTTGGCACCAATTTTAGGCTGGGTGCAGGGGCTCATGCCTGTAATCCCAGCACTTTGGGAGGCCAAGGGGGTGGATCACCTGAAGTCAGGAGATTGAGACCATCCTGGCCAACATGGTGAAACCCCATCTCTACTGAAATACAAAATTAGCTGGGTGTGGTGCCACATGTCTGTACTCCCAGCTACCTGGGAGGCTGAGGCAGGAGAATCACTGGAACCCAGGAGGTGGAGGTTGCAGTAAGCTGAGATCATGCCATTGCACTCCAGCCCGGGTGACAGATTGAGACTCCATCTCAAAAAAAAAAAAAAAAAAAAAAAAAAAATTTTTAAGCCAGGTGCAGTGGCTCACACCTGTAATCCCAGCACTTTGGGAGGCCAAGACAGGTGGATTACCTTAGGTCAGGAGTTCGAGACCACCTGGTCAACATGGTGAAACTCCACTTTACTAAAAATACAAAAATTAGCCGGGTATGGTGGAGCACACCTATAATCACAGCCACTCTGGAAGTGAGGCAGGAGAATCACTTGAACCCAGGAGGTGGAGGTTGCAGTGAACTGCTATTGCACCACTGCACTCCAGCCTGGGCCACAGAGTAAGACTCTGTCTTAAAAAATTATAGAAACAGGCTTGGAGTGATGGCTCACGCTTGTAATCCCAGCCCTTTGGGAGGCTGAGGCGGGCAGATCACGAGGTCAAGAGATCAAAACCATCCTGGCCAACATAGTGAAACCCCCTCTCTACTAAAAAATACAAAAATTAGCTGGGCATGGTGGTGTGCGCCTGTAGTCCCAGCTACTCGGGAGGCTGAGGCAAGAGAATTGCTTGAACCCGGAAGGTGGAGGTTGCAGTGAGCTGAGATCGTGCCACTGCACTCTAGCATGGCGCCTGGCGACAGAGCAAGACCGTTTCCAAAAAAAAAAAAAAAAAAATTACAGAAACAAAAAAATTAAAAACAGAAAGACAGGTAAAATAAATAAATACAAACTTAAAGATAACAAAAGAGAAAAGAAAAACCTAGAAGTTTAGGAAGAAAAGCCAGACCCAGGTGTGAGTCCTGGTTAAGTTCATGAGCCTGGCTGTGCCTCAGTGTCCTCACCTGTACAATGGGACAGCAATGACACCTATTTCATGAGGAACCCACAGGTGCACCCCCCTGGAGTCCCTGAGCTAAGTGCCTGGACCCACTGAGCAGTAAGTGCAGAGGAGTCAGCACAGATGTTGGGAAGGGACCTACAGAAGGGTGGTCCCTCCAGAAGGCAGGAGGCCGCTAATGTCACAGCCACCGCCCTGACCTTGGCATTGTCCTTGGCCAACACCTCTGCTTCCCTGCCCTTCTTCTTGGCACTGGAGGAAAGAGGGGCCGCGTTTCCCAGCATCCTCTCCGCCTGCTTGGTTTTCTTTCTCGTGTCTGCAAGCAGCCTGTCCCTGACGGAGTCTGCCTTCCTCTGCAGAGCCGCCTGGTCCTTGGGCCGAGGAAACTGCAGCTTCATTCCTGCAAACCCGGCTGAGGCTGGGTCAGGAGAACTGGGCTCACGCCTCCTCTCCTCCCAGGCAGCCGCTGGCAGAGCTGCCTGGCTGGCCACAGACCCTTGGACAACGAGTGGAGGTTTGAGGTGCATGAAAGCTGCGTATCACCTTCTCAGACTTCTCCAGGAGAAAACAAAAGCAAGTGAGACATAGACATGCTGCTTGGGGAATTTCCAGATGCATATTCTATGAGAATGTCTATTACATGGTGGTCAATGCTGGGGCCAGTGGTGGGGGCTAGCACAGTCCACGGCTCAGTCCGCTCAGCTCCGCATTTTCATGTACCGCCTATGTCTAAACAATAGGCAGTCTATAGTGACCGATAAATCAACAAATGGATCCTTACCATGGAAAACCAAGAGTCCAATGTAACTGGAGGGATGAGGAAGGACGGAGGAGGAGGGAAAAGTGTCCGAAAATCTCAATAATGACGTTGCAGAAACCAAATGTTCTATTGACCTCTGAGCTCTTAAGCAACCAAGACAAAAAGGGAGATACTACAATTCTCTCTCTCTCTTTTTTTAAAATACAAGGTCCCACTCTGTCGCCCAGTGGAGAGATCTCGGCTCACTGCAACCTCTGCTTCCCAGGTTCAAGCGATCCTCCTGCCTCCGCCTCCTGAGTAGCTGGGATTATGAGCGCAACCATCACACCTAGCTAATATATATATTTTCTATATTTTTAGTAGAGATGGGGGTTCACCACATTGGCCAGGCTGATCTCAAACTCCTGGCTTCAAGTGATCCGCCCACCTTGGTTTCCCAAAGTGCTGGGATTACAGGTGTGAGCTACCACACCTGGCCAAAATGTTACAATTCCCATAGATTTTATTATCCAAGAAGAAGCAATTTCCTTCTTTGTAAACAACGAGGCTATTTCCTTTCCTTTCAGATAAAATTCTAAGGGAAATTTAGTTAGGTGCCGTGGCTCACACCTGTAATCCCAGCTACTCTGGAGGCTGAAGCAGGAGGATCAGGCCAGGAGTTTGAAAGCAGCCTAGGAAACAGTGAGACCTCATCTCTACAAAAAGAAAAAAGCTTAGCTGGGCACGGTGGCACACACCTATAGACCTAGCGACTCGGGAGACTGAGGTGGAAGGATCACTTGAGGCCAGGAGTTGAGGCTAGAGTGAGCTACGATTGTACCACCGAACTCCAGCCTGGGTGACAGAGTGAGACCCCAACTCAAAAAAATATTCTAAAGGAAGTTTATCATCAAAAGAACTGATTACAGGCCGGGCGCAGTGGCTCACACCTGTAATTCCAGCACTTTGGGAGGCTGAGGTGGGCGGATCACTGGAGGTTAGGAGTTCAAAATCAGCCTGGCCAACCTGGTGAAGCCCCATCTCTACTAAAAATACAAAAAAAAAAAAAAAAAAAGCCAGGTGTGGTGGTGGGCGCCTGTAATCCCAGCTATCAGGAGGCTGAGGCAGGAGAATTGCCTGAACCTGGGAGGCAGAGGTTGCAGTGAGCGGAGATCACGCCACTGCATTCCAGCCTTGGCAACAGAGAGAGATGCCATCTCAAAAAAAAAAAAAAAAAAGTACCGATTACAGTGGACAAAGTTGAAGTCAATTTTTAAAAAGAATGAGGTCTTCTAATCTTTGGGGCATAGTATTACAGAATTGTTCTATCCAGAAATTAGGTCTGCTTTGCTCCTTATACGCAAAATTGGTGTTTCTCAACATGTATGCTATGGAGCCCTCATTCGCCACAATGTTAACAAACATTAGAGGGACATATCAATTAAGTCTAAAGTGAAGCAGGTTTCTGTATTACAGGCCTTCTCAGAGCCTTTAATATTCTCCAGTGTTCTCTGTAAGACCTCAAGAGGATGCAGCAGTAAGAGACAGTTCCTAAACGTAAACCGTCTCCCGGCAGCGCATATCACAGGCTAGGAGACCCGGGGCCACGCCCTGGGGAAGACTGCTCCACAGTTCACTTCATGAATTTTCCTTTTATCCTAAGCACCAACCGAGCACAGGCCAACTGGTGGTAAGAGGGGGTGTCTCTAAAATGGGATCGGAATGGGGAAAAGAGCGTGGGCTTGGAGGTTTGAGGTTAACCCTCCTGTGGAATATGGGAGCCGTGGAAGGAAATTTCCATCTACTACATACAAGAGCTTTCTCATTCTCAGACCCCAGCAATGAGAAGGTGAAACCTTGTAAAGGAGCGAGCCCCCCAGGGTAGGAGATAAGCAAGCTGAGAGTGGATGGGTCCACTGTCAGGTGTGAGATTTGCGGCAGATGACTTTAAGACCTCTCATAATTCTAACGTTCTAAGATGTGAACATTCTGTCATTATGAATTGTTGAACGTACCTTTTTCTAAATATGACTCTAGCTGCTTAAGCACACGCGGCCACGCCTTCCCCATAGGAAGCCCCCGAAAGGTGGGGATAGGGCTTCAAGCCACCAGGAAGCTGGGGATCAGGAGGCACGGACCGGCCCACCCGCTGCCCCGGAGGGGGCTGGGTCCACACCTAGAGCTCCATCTCTTCCGGGCCGTGGGCAGGGTTGGGAGGGAGGCCACAGAACCGAGACAACAGCAGAAGCCTGGCTTCTGGCCTCAGACCCCAAGAAACATCTGGGGGTTCAGAGTGCGCTCCTGCCTTATCTAGCCCGTTGGATAAGGAGCCACAAATAAAGGTGAGGGGGCTTCTCTCTGGAGCAAATTGGGTATCACAGAAGCTCATCACACGGCTGACACTTGCAGAATCGTATTTGCTGGCTTCTATTCCCAGCTTAGCCCTGACCCAGGGATGAATAGCAATTCCTTTCCTCAGTCTACCCATCTGCAAAATGAGGGCACTTGGGCCTATTTTCCTAGGGCTCAAGACAGGCCTGGACTGGCATGAACCCATAGGCCCTTCTAAAGAGAAACTTCACCCTTCCCAGAGCCCCAACTCAGCATTGGACCAGGACAGCCATATTTGTACCAGGTAACTAACTGGTGCCCGGGCCAGAGCGGACTTGACCTCGGTGGGCAGCCAATGACGTCAGCGTCTCCTCCTGCTGGGTCTTGAGGGCTCTGCATGTGGTCTGATGATCAGGGTGTATGGGAGAGCCACATGGGCAGGTCCTAGGTGAGCGGTCTATGAGAGGGGGCGGGATCCTGAGAGGTGGAGGGAACAGTACACTTGGCTTAATGAAGCCCACAAGACCAGACTCTTGTCCTCTGCAAGCCTGCCCTGGCCGAGGCGACAGCTGAGTGGCTGTCAGGGGCATTTGTGTATCACAGAGCCTAGTGGTCAGCCAGACACACGTACCTTCCAGGTCGGCCAGCAGAGTCCTGGCCCCCATGACGGTCACTGTGGCAGCCCGGACTGACGAGGAAGCCTGGGTCAGGGCGGCTCTGGCCTCCTGGTGCAGCTGGAGAAAGATGAGGAGAGGCTGGGCGCTGGCTCCAAGAAGCAGTGCCTGGGGGCAGCTCAGCGGGCACCAAACCACATATACGGGTGCCCAAAACATCACCAAATCCTTGACTCTGGGTCACACTGTCCACCAGGAGCACCTGATCTGTGTTATTACATAAAAGTTGAACGCTGACTATCTCCCAAGCAGACACCTGTTCCACAAAAACCCTGAGGAAAACTGGAACACTAGAATGAAAGGAACGAGAGCACCTGTTCTATTAGCCAGGCACAGGGGCTCATGCCTGTAATCCCAGCACTTTGGGAGACTGAGGCAAGCAGATCACTTAAGGTCAGGAGTTCGAGACCAGCCTGGCCAACACGGTGAAACCCTGTCTCTACGAAAAATACAAAAAAAAGAAAAAATAAAAAAAAATTAGCTGGGCGTGGTGGTGCATGCCTGTAATCCCAGCTACTTGGGAGGCTGAGGCAGGAGGATGGCTTGAATCTGGGAGGCGGAGATTGTAGTGAGCCAAGATTGAGTCACTGTACTCCAGCCTGGGTGGCATCAAGAATCCATCTCAAAAAAAAAAAAAAAAGAAAAGAAAAAAAGAACACCGCTTTATCTCAGCAAGTGGATGCGAAAATCACAACAAATCTGTTTATGATACCACCCCGATTTATGGAAACTCAGTTTCTTCCTCACTGCCACTCAACAGGACTAGATACTCAAAGAATTTGGGTTTGATGAATGAATGAAATGAATGAGTAAACAAAATGTGCTTCACCTACACACGGGAATATGACTGAGCCTTAAAAAGGGAGCAAGTCTAGATCCAGGCTGCAATGCAGGTGAACCCTGAAAAGATTACGTTAGCAGGAGGAAGCCCGACACAATCAATACGTATCACATGGTTCCATTTCTGCGAAAGAGCTAGACTAAGGAAATCTACAGAGACAGAAAGCAGACTCAGGCCTCGGGAGGGGAAGTGAGGAGTGACTGCGGAGTGGGCATGGGGTTTCTGTTACGGGTGGTGAAACGTTCTGAAACTAGACTGAGGTGGAAGTGGCACAACGTTGCCATGTACTAAAAGCCATTGAATCCAAAATGGGTAATTGTATGCCCCGTGAATGCCACTGTCATAAGAATAAATAAGTACTAGAGTTTGAGGAGACACATAGCACTGCCTCAGCCCTATTCTGACTGCTGTGGGGCGGGGCATCAGTACACACTGGGGCCTGGCCCTGACTCCTGGGGAAGTCATCTCCCTTCCTGGCATCCTTACCCGGGATGAGGGAGTACAGCAGATCAGCAGGTGCTGCCCCGGGGCCCCAGCAGAGCCAAGCACTCCAGGTAAGCGCCGGGCACCGGGCTCAGCCCTTCAGATACATTCTCACACATCACAGACGGCCCTCTTATCCTGTCTTTAAAAGGAAGGGAAGCCAGACTTCCATTCTTGCTCCTGTAATCCTAGCATTTTGGGAGGCTGAGGAAGGTGGATCACCTGAGATCAGGAGTTCAGCCTAACCAGCATGGTGAAACCCCATCTTTACTAAAAATACAAAAAATAACTGGCTGGTGGTGTAAGCCTGTAATCCCAGCTACTCAGGAGGCTGAAGCAGGAGAATTACTTGAACCTGGGAGGCGGAGGTTGCAGGAGCTAGGATCCCGCCACGCACTCCAGCCGGGCTGACAAAGTAAGACTACATCTCAAAAAAAAAGAATGGGGCTGAGTGTGGTGGCTCACACCTATAATCCCAGCGCTTTGGGAGGCTGAGGCAGGTGGATCGCTTGAGGCCAGGAGTTCGAGACCAGCCTGACCAGCATGGTGAAACCCTGTCTCTACCAAAAATACAAAAAAGAAAAATAGCTAGGCATGGTGATGCATGCTTGGAGTCCCAGTTACTCTGGAGGCAGACACGGGAATCATTTGAACCACAAGATAAAGGTTGCAGTGAGCCGAGATCGCGCCACTGCACCACTGCACTCCGGCCTGGGCAATAGAGCGAGACTTTGTTTCAAAACCAAAACCGAAACCAAACAAAAATATCTAGAGAATGAACTAATGAATGGAGGCATGAGCGAGAACTATCCCAGGATGGTGGGGTGGCCTGGGTGCTGCTGCTGTCCTCTGTCTGTCTGTCCATCGCCTCTTCTCTGGGTATCAGGGTCCCCTCCCCTGCCTCAGGCTGTGTGTGTTTTGCAGGAGGTACCAGAGGGATGGAAAGAGCTACTTCTGCCCTTCTCCCTCCTGCAACCCTGACCCAGATCACCTTCGGGGTAGCCCCAACCTCTCCCAGGCCCCCTGTTTCAGAGCACAAGCATGAGCTGACCTGTGTGAGGGGCTCTGTTTTCTGCAGTGCCGCCTGGGCAGCAGCCTGGATGGCTCGGGCAGCCTCGGTGGCCAGGTGCTGTCTTGATGCAACTGTCTTCTCCAGGGCCCTCGCCTTCCGGCCCAGCTCTTCAGCCCCCGACTTCTGAGGCTGCAGGGAGACAATGGGCTCAGCAGGAAGGGTAAACGCTACTTGGGGGGAGGTGCCCTGCTGGGCTGAGGCAGCAAGTCTTCCCCTGGCTGTCAGCCGTGAACCAAGCCCCCTGAAAACCTGGTGAGCCTACCTGATGCCCCAGGTAGCTCAGAAGCCCCAGGGGCAGGAATAGCAGGGGTGAGGCTTTGTGTGGACCCCAGGGGCCAGGGCAAGAGGAGCCAGGTTGGGGACCCCTCACTTGAGGCTCAGATAACAGCTCTACCAACTTCTAGCTGTATGGCCTCCAGCGACTCAGCTAGCCTCTCTGACCCACACTGCCTCACTGCAGACCGAGAATGCCTCCCTAGCTCCACAGTCTTGAACTAAGATCTGGGGGCTGCATGGCTTCAGAATGCAGAATCTTCCAGACTTTGGAGAAGAAGTATGCAGGTCCTACATATGATCTAACACCCTCAGGGGTGTCGGAAGCAGAACCTGGGCTCAAACGCACTAACGGCTGTGCATTACTCTTCACGTGGAATGGGAGAAGCAAAGACCTCAAATAGGCATTTGTATAAGCTGAGTTCTTTTTTTTTTTTTTTTTTTTGAGACAAAGTCTCGCTCTGTCACCAGGCTAGAGTACAGTGGCGCCATCGCAGCTCACTGCAACCTCCGCCTCCTGGGTTCAAGCGATTCTCCTGCCTCAGCCTCCCGAGTAGCTGGGACTGCAGGTGCATGCCACCATGCCCGGCTAATTTTTTGCATTTTTAGTAGAGACAGGGTTTCACTGTGTTGGCCAGGATGGTCTCGAACTCCTGACCTTGTGATCCACCTGCCTTGGCCTCCCAAAATGCTGGGATTACAGGTGTGAGCCACTGCACCCGGCCATAAGCTGATTTCTTTAACGTTCAGTTTCTGAGTTTTTTAGGATTTCAGGGCTACTGAAATGATACCATAGACCCAACTCATGCAGAGGTGATGAGTACAAGGTGATGGGTACAGAGGGGCCGGCCGGCTACCTCAGCGATGCTCCTGAATCTCTGCCTAGCTCCCACAGAAGCAGCTCTGAAATAACCCAGTGGGGAGTTCCATGTGACAGACTGAGGCTCAGGGAAGGAAAGTCCTCGGCCAAGGTCACAGAGCCGGAGTGGCAGAGCTGGGATCGCAACCCAGGTCTGTCTGATGTCATTGCTAATGTCAGTGTAACGGGAAGAGACCTCAGCCTTGATATTATCATCAACAGAGAATGGTCGAGCTCCACCCCGCAGTAGTTTATATCATTTGACTTGGCTGCAATGTAGTTAAAAAGGAGCCACAGCCCCTGCCTCTGCCCGGGCCCCAACAGTTTCTCCAGCTGCTATAATTTTATTTTCTTTTTTGAAACAGAGTCTTGCTCTGTCACCCACGCCGGAGTGCAATGGTGCAATCTTGGCTCACTGCAGCCTCTGCCTCCCAGGTTCAAGTGATTCTTCTGCCTCAGCCTCTCCAGTAGCTGGGATTACAGGTGTGAACCACCACACCTGGCTAATTTTTGTATTTTTGGTAGAGATGGGGTTTCATTACATTGGCCAGGCTGGCCTCGAACTCCTGACCTCAGGTGATATACCCGCCTGGGTCTTCCAAAGTGCTGGGATTACAGGCATGCGCCACTGTACCTCCAGCTTCTATAATAGATCCCCCCAACCCCACGGATCTGAGGGCAACTGAGCTGACCAGGGCTCCCAGGGCAGCCAGTGAGGCCAGGTGCGGGGCTGTATCTGCGCCAACTTGCTGTACGGTGGCCAGCACACTTTCCGCTTCAGGCAGCACCTCTGCCACAGCCATGCCCAACGCTTCCTGGGCCGCCTGGACCTCCTGGTACCTGGGAGGAAACAGAGGCCGTGGAGCGGGAGGCAGGACTGGCCCTCCCCATCCCTGTCTGGGCGCCGGACCAGAGCCCTTGGTTTGCGAAGGCCTCTGCCAACTTCCCAGGCAGAGCAGCCCTCTGCAGGGCCTGCACAGCTGCCTTGGAAAGTGGCCGCTTCTCTGCAACTTTCCAATGAGCCAGACGGGCTGTGAAAGGGCCACATTCTTGTTCCTGCATCACTCAGTTCAGCCACACTTTGCTGAAAGGCCTCTGCTTGGTTTCCACTCAAGAATCACATGTTTGCAAATGTTTGGCTCTTCTGGGTGAATGGCGAAGAGGAAAATGCCTGGTGAAGTGGGGAGCGCAGTGGCCCTGGCCCTGGCCCTGCCTCAGCCATGCCCTTCCCAGTGACGCTGGGCACATCCTCGCCACTGATGAATGGAGGGCCCTGGGCTGTCGAACCCCTGTGTGCCCTTTCGCCCTGACTGCCTGTGTCTATAACCAACCAGCTAGGATGGGTTTTCCATCCTGACCAGCTGTCCACACCCTGTCCCACCCATTCCTCCCTGACAAGGGCACTGCTGGGGTGGAGACCCCTGGCTTCCCTTCCATCCCTTCCCCCTTTTTAGAGAGCCAGTGCCCTGCCCCTGGGTGGCTCATGTGACTGGCTCAGGGCTGGACACCCGATCTAAGTGGAGTCAATCCCATTCTCATTTAGGAACGCTCAGCAAGACGCTGGGGAGTGTCCATGGACCTTTAAACTGAGAGGGACAGAGTGGGTCACCAAAGCAGAGAAGCAAACTGCCTGCTCTGCAGAGGCAGAGAAAGAAGCTGGTGCTGTGGAAGAGCTCAGAGGAGCTGCCCTGGGCTGGGGTGCAGGGGCCGGGGCGCAGGGGACACTGCAGAGGGAGAGCGAGGGATCTGTTGCTCTGGGCTCTGGTTCCTGTCCCTTCTCTTCAGAGGCTGAGTTGCACCCGCTAGGCACAAGTGGTTACTGCGACTCACCACCGAGTGTGCCCAAGACCCCGTGGCCCCACCCCGAGTGGGATGCAGACCCAAGATACCCCAGACACCAATGACAAAGAACATTGGGACTTGAGGGAGCTGGTTCCGGAAGCAGCAGCCTCTGGCCGAGCCCTGTCAGCTCCAGAAGGCCAACGCCAAGCTTCTAGCCACACCTGGGGGGACTCACCTGTCCTCCAGGTCCCGCTGGGTCTCCAGGGCCACCCTTCCCTCCAGCAGACTCTGGAGAAGCATGTAGCTGGTGTTGGAGGCGAGCAGGGCCCTCCGAGCAGTGGCTGCGATCTTGGCAGCGGCGTCTCTGTGGCTGTGTGAGGACACCCACCTGACCGTCAGCAAGGGCTCGCACAGAAGGGGCTTAGGACCAGAACTACACCCCCTACGACCCAGGCCTCCTGCTTCCCCAAACAGAGGACAGCCACAAAGATGGGGACTCCTTTTCCACCTTTCTGTGTCACACACTTTAAAGACTGATAGGAAGCGTACTCCACGCCCTGTTCCTGTTACATGGAGTTTGTGACTGTTGTGTTGACATAAGGATTAATTGGACCTCTTTTTTTTTTTTTTTTGAGATGGAGTCTCTGTCACCAGGCTGGAGTGCAGTGATGTGATCTCAGCTGATTGCAACCTCCCCACCCCCCGGGTTCAAGTGATTCTCTTGCCTCAGCCTCCCAAGTAGCTGAAATTACAGGCTCGTGCCACCATGCCCAGCTAATTTATGTACTTTTAGTGGAGACGGCATTTCACCATGTTGGCCAGGCTGGGTATTGAACTCCTGACCTCAAGTGAGCCACCCGCCTCAGCCTCCCAAAGTGCTGAGATTACACGCGTGAGCCACTGCGCCCGGCCTTAAGCTGCTTCTTAAAGGCAGTAGATGAAACAGCCCAAGTGTCTGTTAACAGATGAACGAATAAACAAAATGTGGCAGTTCCATTCGATGGAATATTATTCGGCCATAAAAAGGAGTGAAGCACTGGTCCATGCCATGGCGTGGATGAGCCTTGAAAACACTGTGCTTGGTAAAAGAAGCCAGTTGTAAAAGGTAATACATTGTCTGATTCCACTTCTATGAAGTGTCCAGAATAGGCAAATTTAGAGAGACAGAAAGTAGAGTTGTGGTTTCCAGGGGCTGGGGAGATAAGGAGAGACAGGGGGTGGTGGCAAATGGGTCCGGGGATTTGTTTTTGGGATAATGAAAATCCTGACCAGGCGCGGTGGCTCATGCCTGTAATCCCAGCACTTTGGGAGGCTGAGGCAGGCAGATCACAAAGTCAAGAGATCGAGATCATCTTGACCAACATGGTGAAAACCTGTCTCTCCTAGAAATACAAAAATTAGCTGGGTGTGGTGGCACATGCCTGCAGTCCCAGCTACTTGGGGGGCTGAGGAAGGAGAATTGCTTGAACCCGGGAGGCGGAGGTCGCAGTGAGCCGAGATCACGCCATTGCACTCCGGCCTGGGCGACAGAGCAAGACTCCGTCTCAAAAGAAACGAAAAGAAAATTCTAAAATTGGTTGTGATGATGGCTTTGCTACCTGAGAATATAGGGAAAGCACTGAATTACACGGTGTGTGAACTCTACCCCAATATAATAACTTGTATATTATACAACTGTCACAAAAGGAAAGCCAGCAGATGCTCTCCAATGCCTTCAGTCAACAAAGCTTTGCCCCCAACATCTCTGCACTCACTCACCTTGCCTGCCCTTCCCCTTACTGGGGACACTGCCCCCACCAGGCAGCTCTTGTAATATCTGATCCCGACTCCTGGGTGGGGGAACCTGTGGGCTGACTGTGACCCTGGAACCCCCAGGAGAAGGGCCAGGCACAACCTCACCATGTCTTGGGACTCACCTCCTGGCGAGGGCACGGGCCTCTGTGGCCGGGTGGCTCCAGTTGCTGGGCTGGCCAGGCCCTTCCTGAGGAATCTCCTGTAGAAAGAAGAAGAGAGGAAACTGACAGCCTGTCCCCAAAGGGCAAGGGCTGTATCTGGCTCAAGGGTGGGGCAGAACTGGATGGCACCAGCAGTTTTGTAAATGCACAAAGCTGGTCACAACGTCGGCATCCAGTGAGCGGAGTCCCAGGACGCAGAAACAGCAATAAGGACGCCGCCCACTGCTTACTGCGCATCCAGCCTCCTCGGGGCACACCTCGCCCTTCGCAAACGTCCCCTCGCTGAATCCGCGGAGGAGGCGCTGTGTGATCCCCATTTTGCAGACGAAACTGAGCCTCCCAAAGTGGGGAGTCATACCCAAGGTCGCCAGGTCACTGGCGGGGCTGGAGCAGGGAACAACGCCCTGGATTGGTGCGTTTGGGTTGGTGGGGCGGGGGCCCTGGGATACCAGAGACATAAGAACGGCAGCTGCGTGCAGAATCTCCTCTTCTGAGGACGCCAGCACTGCCTCCAGGTCTGCCAGCTGGGTGCAGGTCTTCTGGGCTCTGGCCCGGGCACAGCGGGCACCCTTGCTCAGCCTCTGCAGCTGCTCCCGAGCAGTCTTCACAGCACCCTCAAGGCCTATCATCTGCTCCTGGAAGGCTTCCCGAGCCGCTAAAGAAAGCCCACAGCCCAGGGGTCACAGAGTGGTGGAGACGTCGCCCAAAAGCCCCCACGCCTGGGGTCCCCTTCTGTGCCCTCCATTCCCCAGGTATCAGCAACCCAAACACCAACAGGTAGTCCCAAAGGGAAGAGCCCCCCGTTTTACGGATGCAGGCTGAGGCCCAGGGAAGGCAAACACGACCCAAGGTCCCACCCACAGCAAGTCAGCCTTACATAGGGACCGGGAGGGACCCAGGCCTTCTGCAGCCACACCAGCAGTCCTGGACCCCCTGCTCCAATAAGCTCCAGTTCACACGGTGCCTCACACGTGGGCAACTGAAGACGTGGTATCCGATAGCCCCTATGTCCACAGTGAGTCCTGCTAACAGGTTCTCAGCTTGCCTCTGTCTGGCTGCTGAAGGAGCGTAGCACTTACACATGTGAAACCTCACAATGTAATCCAGTCCATTTCAGCGCCATTTCCAGGTCCCAGGCCAAATTCCTCCTGGCTTTAGTGAGTTTCCTTCTTTTTTTTTTTTTTGAGACAGAGTCTCGTTCCGTTGCCAGGTGCCAGGCTGGAATGCAGTGGCAAGACCTCGGCTCACTGCAACCTCCACCTCCCGGGTTCAAGCAATTCTCCTGCCTCAGCCTCCCGAGTAGCCAGGACTACAGGCACACGCCACCACGCCCAGCTAAGTTTTGTATTTTTAGTAGAGATGGGGTTTCACCCTGTTGGCCAGGATGGTCTCGATCTCTTGACCTTGGGATCCGCCCGCCTCGGCCTCCCAAAGTGCTGGGATTACAGGCTTGAGCCACCACACCTGGCCAGTTCCCTCCTTTTTTTCCTTCCTTCCTCCCTCCTTCTCTCTCTCTCTCTCTTTCTTTCTCTTTCTTGTACAGACAAGGTCTTGCTATTGCTGCGTTGCCCAGGCTGATCTTGAACTCCTGGGCTCAGGCAATCCTCCTGCATTGACCTCCCGAAGTGCTGGGATTACAGGCATGCGCCACCGCGCCCCGCCCGCCTTTTTTCTTATTTACTCAGGTATTAGTATTTTCTATGTGCTGAGCGCTGTGCTGGGCTACAGCAGTGAGCGACACGGCCAAGAATCAAAGCGATGGGGCCCTCCAAGTCCAGCCTCTGGAGCAGCGCCTTGTGACCCCCTTGTGGAGGGAGTGAATAAACGAAGGAGCCCAGCCTGTCTCACTGAGCTTAGAGTCTGGGTAAGGCAGGGTCATGGGGACAAGGACTGATATTAATAAAGTTACAGGTGGGCTAGGGACATTGAAGGAGAGGCCCACAGTGACCAGGTTGTGTCGTGAGAGCCTCCAAAGCATCTGACAAGACCAGACTGCAGGCTCTGGGGGCCTCCCCTTGCCTCCCACCCTCCCACTCTGCCCCCGCTGTACCTGGCAGCAGGTGGGGGCTCTGGTAGACATCCCCTCTTGGGGCCTCTCCCTGCAGAATGTCTAGTGGTCCCCAGGGACTGCCACAGTTGGACCCTTGCAGCCGCCCCTCCATCAAAGTCAGTCTGACCTTCAGCTTGGCTGCCTGGAGGGGACAGGGAAGAAAAGGCAAATGAGGCTGGTGGCATGGAGGTCGGCCCAGGCTTCCCCCCGGCTTCTACCTGCCACTCTCCCTGGGGGTTCCCTTCTCCAAATCCTCCCCTGGACCTCAACACTCAGGGTATGCCACAGCTCTGAGAGCCAACCCTGCCCAGCCCACGGTTGCTGCCTCTTCCCTTCCCACCCCATGCCTCCTGCTGACACCGCTGACCACTCTGCTGTCCTACCTCGGAAGGGAGGGAGGAAGGGACGGGAAGGGACGCCCCACAGGGATTTCTATCTGTCCTATTCACTGGGTCCCCAGGATGCTGCACCGGAAGGCACGCTATGGCCACTGGTGAGTGGGCTATAAACGTCCCCTAGCCCCGTGTTTTCATCGGACAATCACTGCATTTACAGAGCATGTCCTGGGAGCCAGGCTCAGCACCAATGCCTGCCACACGCCTGCCCGATTACCCCCGTCACCACTCTAAGTGGCAGACACAGGTCCCAGGCCCTGTCCTCCATTCCCAAGTCCAGAATGTTCTGGAAAACCACAAGGCATTCCATTCCTCACTCGAGAGCAAAATCTGACCTGAAGTAAAACTGTTCTGAAAAAGGCCACTGTGGTCTCCATTTACCCGCTTGGTGGGAATAGTCATCTGTCTTCCTGTATAAATATCACTGGGCTTGACTATGGAGGCTGGCCCGTTCACAGTGGGGAATTATGTAATATTCAGTGCAGGCCATTTTTCTTTTTTCTTTTTTTGAGACAGAGTCTCGCTCTGTCACCCAGGCTGGAGTGTGGTGGCGGCATGATCTCAGTTCACTGCAACCTCTGCCTCTTGGGTTCAAGCAGTTTTTCTGCCTCAGCCTCCTGAGTAGCTGGGATCACAGGTATGTGCCACCCCACTGGCAGATTTTTATATTTTTAGTAGAGACAGGGTTTCACCATGTTGTCCAGGATGGTCTCAAACTCCTGACCTCAGGTGATCCATCTGCCTCAGCCTCCCACAGTACTGGGATGAGAGGCGTGAGGCACCGCGCCTCAGTGCATGCCATCTTATCTTTCTACAATGCCACAAATTCTGAAAGCTGGCCCCAACGGTTTCCAGAAAAGGGCTGCAGGTCTGAACTATTTCCAGTCTAGAGCAAGAGAGAGCCCGAGGCTTACCAAGGCTGTTGCCTACCCAGGCACATGACAATGAATGGAGCTGGCAGAGGGGAAGCCCGATGGGTTAACTCTAGAGTTTGAACTCCTGACTCCTGCACCCCCCACTCCCGACTCAGAAGCACCTCCTGTGGACCCTCCTTACTAAGGGGTTATCTGTGGTCTCATCCCCACTGAACCTGAGAAAAGTGAGACCTCAGCCCAGTGTGGTCAGGAAGAGCAGGTGACAAGAGTCCCATTCACTCAGAACAGGGGAAGGGCTGGGGCGAGGGTGGAGCGGGGCTGGAACAGGCCCGGAGCTGGGTGGGCACAGGGAGAAGGTGGGTAGTGGGCTTGCAAGGTCCGAGCGCTTGGGTGAGCAGGCAGTTCCCGGTGCCTGGCACACAGCTGGCACTCGCTGGGGACACAGAATGAATGGGAAGGTGAGCAGTTCTGGGTGGACCCACCTCCTCCTTCACCAGGGCGTAGCAGGACGGGCACTCCTGGCAGTGTGTGCCGTCGGCCGTAAGGAAGAAGTTGTCGTGGCAGCGGTCACATTTGTAGCCCTCAAAGCCAGGCCTGCACACGCACGTGCCATTCTCCCGGCACTGGGCCGAGGCGGCGCCCAGCGGGGAGCACCTGCAGGCTGGAGGGGCCAGGGGCAGTGCATGCTGGGTTCTGGATCAGAACCCCCTGGGCAGCATCAAATACAGACTCCTGGGCCCTGCCCTGGAGAGTCTGATTCAGAAGGTTGAAGGCGGCACAGAGCCTGGCTTATTCCAATGTTCCCTAGGGGATCTGAGGACAGCCAGGTTTAGGAACTGCCAGTGCAGCCCAACTCTATAGGTGAGGAAACTGAGGCCCAGAGGGTAACATGATGGCCCCAGGCACACAGGCACTTCACAGTGGCATCTGGGACTGTATTCCTGGCTGGCATGAGGATGCTGGCAGAGGGCCAAAGACTTGGGTGAGGGTCACAAGTACAGCCCTGCCCCAACTGCTCTGGGCCACATGACCCTGCTCTTCTGGTCAGTGCCAGGGCAGCATCTCACTCCTGAGCGTCCTTCCCAATTCACTCACTCCACGCTTCCAGCTGCTCTCCTGTCTGACCATCCTCTCCCGCCGTACCCATTTGCCCCATCCATCATCTTTGCCCAGAGACCTCAGGCCCCACCCTCCCGGCAGCCTGGGAAGAACCCAGCCTCCTTACCCTGGCAGCCCTTGATGGAGAAGCCAAAGAAACCCAGCTGGCATCTGTCACAGACCTGGCCTGTGACGCCTGGGCGGCAGGTGCACTGGCCAGTCTTGGGATGGCACTGATCCTCTTGGGAGCCCAGTGGGTGACACTTGCAGCTGTGATAAGAGAAGGAACTGGGTCTGAGGCAAGCTCAGCGCCACCCCTGACCCAGCCTCTGGCGGCTGCAGCTGGTGGGGCCTCAGCTCACAGCCCCTGCTGACCAGACCCTGTCTCCATGAAGAGGAGACAGGGTCTGGTCAGCAGGGGCTGTGAAACAGGTACATGGCACAGCTTCCCCAGCTGTGCTCCGGAAAGCACAATTTTCCCAGGATGCTTGGGGAAAAACGAAGATAAAATAAGGCTATGGGACAAACATGTCTCGGGGAGCCTATACCTCTCTGTTGGAAAGTCACGATGCAATTAGCACATTAAGGGCTTGGAGAAGTCCTGCAAGGAAGAAACCTGTTTGCTCCACTTGGTGTTTCCCGGGAGTCCTCCATGTTTCCTAAGGACGCTTGTCCAAGGTGCTACTGTGGCCAAAAGGCCACCCAGTGATGGTGTCACCGAGAAGGGAATCAGAGAGCAAACCAGCCACCTGCCCGCCTGGACATCTCTTAGGGCTGCTCTTGGCTCAAATCCTGGGCTGGCAGAGCCATGATTCTGATGTCAAGAGACTGTCCCTTTGCCCCCCTTCAGCATAGGGCACAATGTACATGGCAGTGGGCCTGGGACAACACCTTCCAAATCAGTCCCCTCCCTGGGGGCTGCCTGGCACCTTCTTCCATCCTGGCAAAGTCCCCAAGGCACCAACAGTCTCACCCTACCTACCTCCGGCAGCCCCTCCCAGCCTGGAGGTCAAAGAAGCCAGTGTAGCAGCGGCTGCAGTCTCGTCCAGTCACGTGAGGCAGGCAGGAGCACTGGCCGGTCATGGGGTCGCAGGGCATCTGCTCACTGACCGAGCCCTGTGGATGGCAGCTGCAGGCTGGCGGGGGGAGCAGGAAGGGGTGTTGGGAATGTGCAGATTGTCTGCTCCACCTTTCGGGGTCCAACAGAGGCAGAGAGGATGGGGCCGCCTCCAGAGACGATACCGCACATTCAGCCCAGATTCTGATGCCCCTGCTGGAAAAAGGCTCCAGGGCTGAGCTCAAGCCTCAGCCCATTGACCGTATCCTTAGAGGGACAGCCCAGGCAGTCACGGCGGCAGACAGCCCTTCTGAGCCTGGCAGGCTGCAGAGGGCCAGAGACGTGGGTTAGGGTCACAGTTACAGCCCTGCACCCACTGCTCTAAGTCCCGTGACTCTGCTTTCCCAGTGACCGCCAGGGCAGCGTCTCGCTGTGGGCCAGAGTGGCATTTCCTGTGGGGGTTCCACAAAGCGAGAGTGAGCGGGACCCGCGGCTGCAGCGTGGAAAAGGGCTCCAAGCACACGGATGTGGGGTGAAGGCTGAGCTTCCCTCCTGCAGGGCTCTGGGGGCTCCCAGGGGCTACGTGTTAACGGAGGCGATGTTGGGGGCATGGCCTCGGACCCTGGGCGCAGGACCCTGCGCCAGCCATATGTGCCAACTGCAGAGTGGGAGATAAGCGCTAGACTATCCAGGCTTCAGGATCGGAGCTTCTAGGATCTCACAGCTGAAAGAGACCCCGGAGAGGGGCAAACCCTTGTGCTTTCTGGACACGCAGACAGGGAAGGGGAGTAACCAGCTGAGGCTGCACAGCCTTGCAGAGGGGCCAGCCGGTTCCAGCGGGTTCCTCAGCCCCCCCTTCTGCGTCCTGAGCCAGGGTAGAGGAGAAGAGGCCCACCGTGCCCCCTCCCCTGGGGTCTGGAGGCAGGTACTCACGTGTGCATTTGTCTGTGGGCCGAGGGGCCAGGGCGCTCCCGTAAAAGCCTTCCTGACAGTGCTCACAGTGGTCACCTGTGGTATTGTGCAGGCAGCGAAGGCAGTGGCCAGACAGGGGGTCACAGTTGCCCACGGCATTGGGGTCCACATTCCCGCTGCACTGGCACTGGTGGCAGGGCTGGGGGGCCCCAGAGAGCCCCAGCGGGTCCCCAAAAAAGCCATCATCACAGACCTCACAGCGCCGCCCTGCGTGTAAGGGAACACGTGTGGGGAACGCAGCCAGCTGGTCCTGCCAGGAATGAGGGTGGGCGAGAGGCAGCGCGAGCATCCCTGCAGCCTCCCCGGAGCAGAGCACGGGCTCAGGCAGGAGGGACTGGGCCAGCCCCAGTGGCTGCCCGCAGCTGTGTGGTCCTGGGCAAAGCACTGTGCCTCTAGGAACTCAGGTTTCTCATCTTTAAAGTGGGGACAACAACGGTGGCTCCCCACAGGACCGAGGGGAGGGTTCGGTGACATAATTTGTGAAAAGCACTTAAAATCCGGCCTGGCACGTGGTAAGTGCTCAGCAGTGGCTGTCATCACACATCTGTCCCCACACCCTCATCATCGTCACCATTATCTGCACCGTCACCACTTTCCTCACCAAAACCTCACCCTCATCATCACCTGCTTCATCATCCTTATTTATTTATTATTATTATTGAGAAGGAGTCTCACTCTGTCACCCAAGCTGGAGTGCAGTGGTGCGATCTCGGCTCGCTGCAGCCTCTGCCTGCAGGGTTCCAGCAATTATTCTGCCTCAGCCTCCCAAGTAGGTGTGATTATAGGTGCATGCTACCACGCCCGACAAGTTTTGTATTTTCAGTAGAAATGGGGTTTCACCATGTTGACCAGGCCAGTCTCGATCTCCCGACCTCAGGCGATCTGCCTGCCTTGGCCTCCCAATGTGCTGGGATTACAGGCGTGAGCCACTGCGCCTGGCTGCTCATGTTTTTTTTTCCTGTTCCTCTTGACATTTCTGCACTGCTCCAACATTATGATGAATATGTACATTTATTTCTATTTTCATTTTTTCTGGAGTTACTAAGTCAGTCAAGAGTATGTACGAATTTTATAATTAAAAAATAGCTGCTGTCATTGTGAAGAATAGTTGTGAGCTCCCTGTGTCCTCAAAAGCCATCAGTCAATTGAAATGAAGTTAACAGTACAGGCCAGGCGTGGTGGTTCACGCCTGTAATCCCGGAACTTTGGAAGGCGGAGGCGAATGGATCTCTTGAGGCCAGGAGTTTGAGACCAGCCTGGTCAACATGCCAAAACCCTATCTCTACTAAAAATACAAAAATTAGCCAGGCGTGGTGGCAAGCACCTGTAATCCCAGCTACTTGGGAGGCTGAGGCAGGAGAATCACTTGAACCTGGAGGCAGGGGTTGCAGTGAGCCGAGATCGTGCCACTGCACTTCAGCCTGGGTGACGGAGCGAATCTCCATCTCAAAAAAAATTAAAAAGTTAATAGTGCTAAGGACAACCCTATAAAGGGAAAGGGTGAACAGAAAGGAGAGGGAGGGGAGGGAAGGGGAGGGGAGGGAAGGGGAGGAGAGGGGAGGAGAGGGGAAGGGAGGGGAGGGG